TCATGGTAAATGTGGGTAGCAAGGGTAGCAACTACAATTCTGATGTTAACACAAGCGTGGTTACAGCGAGACTGACTGAGTGATGGAGCGCGGAGTGGGGTGACGACGCGCTATGCATGTGTGTGTGTGAGGTTGCGGGAGCGGGCAGCGTCCCGTGTTCGGTGCCGCGCGCGAGTTGAATGGCGCACGATTTGAATGTACTTCAATTAAATCAATGTACAGAATATTCCTCCGGCTGGGCAATCCGCGTATTTGCAAATCCGTGTATGCTAAACCCGTGTATGTTAAGGGCCGACTGTACAGCGGTTAGTTTATTGTGTACCCCATACTCATCCTGTGAGCTGTAGCACAAAAGGGTTACAGAGTATAGTTTACAAAGAGTCTGTATAACTACCTCCAGTGGTCATGGTATTATGGTATTGAATGTTACAGAGTATTTCAAATACATTGTTTGTTTAGTTCTTTATATAGAGGGTAACTTATTCACAACTGTGTGAGTACAGGAGTGTGAGGCAGTACACACGCAATTGCAAATATGTTACCCTCTATGTACGGAACTAAAGCAAGCACTGACAGTGGCAGGGAGAGAGCTACAACTGGCGTTCCCTCACTCACTGCTCCACTGTCTCTCCGTCTTTTGCCAAATGACAATTCAGTATTTTGTCTTTTATTTATTATTATTATTATTTTTTTTAACATTTTTATTTATTCCTGACATATAATGGTACAGTATATATTATATTATGTACAAATAATAAGTTCTTCCACATGCATCCAGCCTGTGACACAGTTCAGAATATCAATATGAATGTCATCCATCTGACTCACAGACGTGTGACGGCCACCGCAGTGGGTGTCTATGCCGTGACGTCATGGAACTCACTTATAGCACCGCCTCAACACATTTACTTCCTATATACTGAATGCTCTTCATTTTTCTTGTTTAAAGTTTTACATTATATTTTTATATATTTCAAAGCCACGTTAGAGTATTGTAATGGCTTTCCACAACTTTTATAGTTTCATTACAAGTAACAACATGCGAGGCAGCTGGGCTGGCAAGTTGGCGATATAGTTATACCCAAGGCCTTGGCTATAACCGCCTCCACACATTTTCGCTTCTCACGCATACAGTACACACTCATGCTCTTCATTTTCTTATTTTATAGTTTTATATTATATTTTATTTATATCAAAACCACATTCGGGTTTTTTACAGGTAAACCCCAAGATATGATGAGGTTAGGTTCCTGAAAAACCCATCGCTTGGTGAATTATCCTCAATAGGAAGTATTATAACATGGGGTTCAGTGGGATACATTCCCAGCCAATCCCCAAACACACATTCATCACCGACAAAAAAACAATTCCTACAATACTACTATCAGTACAAAACAATTAAACAACACTGACCTTATCCTGAAGAATAAGCCTGATCATTATCACGTCTCCCCTTCGAGGCTAAGGGGACTCTTGTAGGTGGAGTGGAGACATTACTCTGACTCCCTACACCACCTCTTGGGAGTCTCATGCTGCTTAACAATGTCAAGCTTCATCTCAGAGACATGGTTTTCTTGAATGCCTTGGCCTTCCCAGACATTACACTGCTCACTTCACAGTCACAAAAACTGAGCAAAAGCACTTGTCACAAAAACAGAGTGAACGATGATAATATGAAAACAATAATAGTGGCCGACACTGCTCAGTTACAAAAACACAGAAAATATCACTTCACAGTCACCATAACACAGTTCAATCTTAATGTTAGTGCTGTCCTCTCACTATACAGTGGTCCCTCGGTTAACGAACTCAATCCGTTCCAGCAGGTTGTTCGTTAACCGAAAAGTTCGTTAACGTAAACCATTGTTTCAATGGGTTTTTGGGTAATTGGTTCCAGCTCACCGAAAATTTCCTAAATTCAACAAAAATGGTAGAAAAGTTCACTTACTTTGAGGTGTGTATGTAGAAGGCTCCTGGATGATGATGATGATGATGATGATGATGATGATGGGAATTAGAATGGGGGTGGAGGAGAAGGAAGAAGAGAAGGCATTGGGGTGGAAGAGAAGTCACCCCATGGCACCATTTCACCCATAAAATTTTAGTTCTCTTGGTGTATTTCAAGATTATTTTCTTTAAATCAACACTGCACTGCATTATATATTGTCAATATGTAAAATATATTTCAAAATGACCAATAATTTGCTTGGAAACACAGAAAAAAAAGCGTTTAGTTGAAGAGAGTCTCAAGCAAGATGTTACCTCCACTGAAAACAGAGAGAGACTAACGCCTGTCTGGTGTGTTAACAGGCTGGATGGCACGCCAGAAACTAGTTTCTTTACCTTCAATTATGCTCAATAATTGTTAAAATGACTAAAAAAAGTTAATATTAAACTTTTAAAATTATTGCATAGTATAAACTTCTTGATATTTACTAAAATAGTAAGGAATTTAAGCCCTAAAACCGATTACTGTATTGGCGGACTGATACTAAAGCTGGTTGCCCGGTTAGTGCAAGCGGAAACATGTTGAGGTCGGTTCGTAAGAAATTCGTTAACCGAATTTTTGTTCGTTAACCGAATTGACGATTCTTATGGAAGGCAGTTCGTAAACCGAAATTTCGTTAACCGAGGCGTTCGTTAACCGAGGGATCACTGTATAAGGAAAAAAGCCCACCGATGATAAGTGCAATGTATGATGCTGGCTGATAATCGTGGAGCCATGCGATGGCGGGTTTATGATCGACAAAGAACCAAACACAGGGCTGTATTGCACGGGTAGGCTTACAAGTGAAGGTAGAGATGCGTCGTGCATAGGGTTAAATAAAATATCACTGACTTGACATAGAAAAATATAATTTGCATTACTGGAATACTTGCAAGACAGCAGTTAATTTGAGTGTAAACAACCCATAGTTTGTACTGGAGAGAAAAAATCCAACCAATAGATATCGATGGCTGTTTAATGGTTATCGTTAAAGTGAGTTATTTTTATTGTATATAACGAGATGGTCTTAATTTATGACCATCGTTGCTCGGGATATTGCACCTCGAGGTTTACTTGTAAGTTGTAACCTTGTAATTATTGTATCATTAACCCTTTGCATTAGGAGTTTACTTTCCAAGGTGTAAAGTTACATAACTGTAATTTTTTGTGGGGGGCTTGGGAGTCATTCGAACACCCGACTCTTCACTGGCCGGACTTGGATATTTACCCTGTCTCTAGATTAGTAATTCTGACTGTACAGCAGATTTAATGGGGAGGGTTTAAAAGGAGTTAAAAGGACAGAGACATAACCTAACCTAACCTACCCGCTTGGCTGCCAGGAGAAGACTGCTAAACAATGGGCCTGCACTTATCTCCATCCACACAGTGGTAATTTGTGGAAGCTTGCCTCTTGAAATCATGCAGCCATTTATGACACAAAAATTTTTATGCAATTATCGTGAAACGTTTTTACCCTAAGTTTTTAAAGTTTAAGACGTAATTCATGTCACCACTGCAGTTAGTGCTATCTAATAATATACAGTGATACCCCGATTTACGCGGTCAATTGAACCCGCGGAGTAGCGCGTAAAACAAAAAACACGTAAATGGAATAACAGAACATATGGGATTAATTGTAATAGAGACTGGGTCGACTCCCAAACTCCACTTTTTCAGACACAATACCTATGTTGTAGTAAAAATAACTTCTTAATTTTATGATGGTATGCACACACAATTAATATTTAAGAGAGATACAGTTGCCAGGTTAATGTCCATTCAAATAATGGACTCAAATCCCCCTTCCCACGCTTGCTGGCTCCTCCCTCTCTGAGAAATGTTTGGGTGAAAACACTAGATTTTAAGGTATAGTAATAAATAATACCTTAGACTAAAGTTAGGATAATATAATTGACATTGCTGGTTTTCTTGCAGGTCAGGGAATATTTTGAATGTAAACGTCATATATTTTGCACAAAAGATAAAATGTTTGCATATTTGCATGATCTCCTTAAATTACATCTAAAAAATGTATGTCTAATGCAAATGTTAAGATGTTGTATTTAAAATGATCACCATCTTGTAAGAATTTCAGCAATGTAAATTATATTCCGGCAGGGTAATTTGTATGAATTTTATGAGCTAAAGCAAATATCTTCAGCAAATAAACAAATTATACTTCACCCGAGTAAATTCACCGCGTAAATGAGTAAATTCACCGCATAAATCGGGCATCCTGGTTCTGGCAAGGTACTGCGTAAATGACCAAACGCGTAAACGAGAACCGCGTAATTCGATGTATTACTGTAATGCAATTCACGTCATCGTGTGCGAGAGGGTTAAGTTCCCTGTTGCCTACCATAATTTATATTTTAGGATTTATATCCAATTTGGAAACAACCAATACTTTAGTCTTTGCAGCATTAACTCTTTAGCCACATTTTTTGCCCTTTCCATAAATCTGTTTACCAGTTTTTTAATGCCTCTTCACTATCTTTGATAAGAGCAGTATCATCTGCTTAGTATCATCTGCTTATATGATATTAACTTTACCACTAATGTTTAGTTCTTCATTGTCACTTAAAATTTCTCTCATCAAGAATTCTGAATATATATTATAATGTGGGAGATGGAACACAGCCTTGTCTTACTCCCTGTCTAACTGTGAACCAATTAGTAAGTTCATTATATACTAGCTTATAGAGGAAAATTTTGTAGACAAAGTAAGGCCTCATTTGTAAATATGTGAATTGACTATACGTAAAAATTTTCTGGAGACAAGATCATTGAAAGAATTGTATTAGAGTGTTCACTGACCTTGTATAATCTTTCTGGGGTGACCACATCATATTTTACATTATGTACTTAGCATCCTGGTGAAACATGATTTTGTTTTATTTTTGATAGTACAGTACCTGTACTGATGTTATTGTTAACCTTTACAATAATTTTCTTTGTACTGTAATGCAAGTACAGTACTGTATTTTAATAATAATGATATTCATATTTTCAGATATATGAAATGCAAAATTGTGTGGTCAGGTCACACGACAATAAGAAGAGCTCTTGAGAAGCCACCGGATAAGGTTTACACTCAGATTTATCAAAATATTATTGTAATTTTGAAAATCATTATCTTTTCACAGAATTGTTCTTGTTTTTTTTATCTTCATGTGCAAGGGGAAGTCCAGAAGTACACTAATATTTCAATTTGTAGTAAACTTTGTAACAAAATTAAAAAGAAAACATTTAATTGGATTTTAATGTATTCTTGTAAATGGAAATAATATACCAAGACTTTAGGAATTCTGGAAATGAATAATTTTCTTGACTTATAAAATATCAAACATGTGCAGCTGGCATGTGGATTTGACACCCGCTTCCTGTCCCATAAATTGCTGGTTTGTGTTTAGGGCACTGCTAGTTTATCTAGCTTCACTATGGGGATGCCACTTTTAATATTTTACTGAAAACTCCAGACATTTTATTCAGCAGAGAGGGAACTCCATATACAAATGGTTAACAGTTGTGGAAAATGAAGCAGGTGAGTGCACAGTAAGTGAAGCTGCCTCCTTGTGTGCCCAAAAAAAGTTTGGTCCATAGTGTGCTGTATCATCCACACTGCCCCTGATGGGCTGTCAGGTTTACAGGCCCCATTGTTACTTCAACACAAATTCACACACATGACTTGAAAATTGTTGTCAAAAGCTTGGAAATCAATGTTTTATCACATTTCAAACTTCCTCATTTTTACAGTGATATCTCCGCTAGCCGGAACAATTGGTGCAGAGCACTTCCGGGAATGAGAGATTTCTGGGTAAGGAGATGACTCTCTCAAAGCCGGAAAAAATCCCTCATCCCCATAATTTTCTGGAATTGTCCGGGTAACAGAAAAATTTTCTCAGCATTTCCTGAAATTGCACGTTACATCATCTCTCAAACCTGGAAAAATATCCTCCATCTCCGGAATTTTCTGGGTAACGGAAAAATGTTCTCGGATGTTCCGAAAAATGCACCTTCTTTTCATCTCTCAAACCTGGAAAAAACTTCCCCATCCCGGGAATTTTCCAAGAAAATTTCAATTCCGGCTATCAGAGAGTCCCGGGTTTGAGGGATTCCGGCTAACGGAGATATTCTTTATATTTCCACGTCCTTGGTTTAATTTATTTATACTTGTTGTAACTCTTGCTGTTCTTGCTGTCTTCTATATAAAGTGTCACAGCAAATAGGTAAATAAAATCCTCTATATTTTAATTCATTTTTTATAAAGCTACACTCTGGAACATATGAAAGGCTGAAGAATGCAGTATTTATTTTTGAAGATTGAAATGTGCATGTTACATTCAGGGGAAAACCCTGATGAATAATTAGAAAATACGTTAAAGTTAAACCCTATACAAGACAAAATTGCAGAGCGGGGGATTCTAATCATGACATAAATATTACAGGATTTCACAAAGCCATCAGGAAGGGTGCACTCAGTTCGGTACTTCAGTGGTATGGTGATAAACACATCTGTTGAAGAATAGTACAACAGCTGAAGCACCCTGTTGTTGATTCTCTATCGCTCCAATACCTATGGATACTGACATGTCCCTTTCTCTCATCTAAACCATCATCATCCACAGCAAAAGTTGATATGCAGGGAATATTTGATTGTACACCTACAAAATACTGATGATGTGACCCAGCAGTGGGTGTGGGAGTCTTTTAGCGTCCCAGGTAGTAACACTGTGTGCTCTATAAAGCACAGCTAGTCTTTAGTTACTGTTATTCTGCAGACCCCTCCCAACGTGACAAGTGTGGTAATCACTCCGTCACTAATGACTCACTCCACATCACTCACAAGATCTCATGAATCCATTCATGATGGTTGTTTCAGAGGACTCATAATCTAACACATGATAAGTTCCATGACACAACAGAAAATGGCCAAAAGATTACACCTAACATGTTCCATGAGGACTTACCTATGTATTTGAAACTTCACCCGTAGTCTTCCTGAACACCACAGTGGTGGTGTTCTGTGACTTAAATAGTAATAGCTGCAATTATGATAAGACATAGTGCAATGATGTGATAATTAATGCTTCCATTTATACCATACATAAAGACTTTACAAGTGTTACATTAGCAAACTTACATCTTCACATAATTATATGGACTATTATAAAACTGGCATTACAGTAACTAAGACACAAACATGTGCATTTTCATAAGCATGAAGCAGCAACAAATCTGTATATAGGTGATAGTGTGATACGTCTTACACCATAAAGACCAAACAGCCCATGTTGAACATACACAACAATATCAAATAGCAAAGATTTTTAAATTCATACAGTATTAATGGATTGTTCATAGCCAAATTATATGCGAGAGCATAGAGGCTTTAGATTACACCCAAACATAATTTAGAACTTTCTATTCGCCCAACTCTGTTTAGTGTGTAACAAAGTATGTGGGTTAGTGTGTCATGTTTACAAGGTTCAACACAATGTCTGGGGCAGAACTGGCAGTGCTACTCATTATAATAAGCTCAGATGATTAAATAGATGATCGTCATATTTCATGGAGAGGTCCATCGGACTAGCTAACTCACTATTTACATACATTAGTCTCAGGTAATGGGAAACTGTGTAATTATTAGGTATGCAAGAGGATAACATATTAGTTTTTATCTTAGGATGTAAGTTAGCAGCAGTCTCTTAGGCAGTAGACTACCATACTCATTCACTAGAAGTGATCAGCCTTCCTCACACTCAATCTAATAAGTATTATAGCACCTTACAGGGAACTGAGAAGTCATATAAGTTTTACCATATTTCTTGTCTTGGGTAACAGAAAGCCTGTCTGGTATATGAGAGGCTTTGGAGGGATCAAAATGGAGAATTATCACACTACCAGCACAAGAAGGGCTAATTTTGAGAAAGTGCACTATCCAGAAGAGAAAAACCTTTACTGTATCATCAGAATCAAATTGAACAAGTTAACATAACGATTCAGTGCATATGATTACACATATTTACCCATAACTTCTGTAATAATGACTTGGTTGGTGATTGTCACTGACTATAAGGATGCACTTGCATGGTGCAACCACTAGTGAGAAGTTATTTGTAAAAAAAATATATATATATTTGCCCTTATGACAAGGAAGTCTAAATACTGCAAGAGACCTAAAAACATATACTCGTACTGTATAGGCCTACATATGTTTTTATTGAATAATATCATAAAGACATTTCTAATTGTGAAGAAAAAAGGCATCATTTCTTTTATATTATTATTATTTTTTTTAATTTGCTATCCAAGGAAAATCATACTCAAGCTTCCTTATATTTTAACATGAATATGACTCCCTTCAACTGACTATTCCAGCACTGAATCATTCTTAAAGGCTTTTATATTGGATTTTTCTCCTAACTGGAAATGTAAGTGCAGTACATAATTGACTCCCTCGCGATTTAACATGAAGTGGCATCCTAAATGATATGAAAATTGGCTTGAGATACTGCCATAACGAGATAATTTCTAACATCACCATTTAAAAAGTAGAAAAAGATGACACTTGATAGCTTGGGTCTGATAAATATCAGTGGCAATAAACTGTTCGAAAGAAACCCTGCCTCTAGTCCCAGTATGGTGTGACCACTTTGAAAGGCTCACCATTATATTGGCCAAAATAAACTTTTACAATGGAACTATGAAAAACAGTATAAATGTTAGAAAGCACCATTCTTACTAACCAACACAACCTCAAACTACTGAAACCATATCCAATTGTGACTGCAGGCCACCACTACCTCACACCACCCACCACCATCCACCACTACCTCACACCACCCACCACCACCAGCCACCACTACCTCACACCACCCACCACCAGCCACCACTACCTCACCACCACCACCAGCCACCACTACCTCCCACACCACCCACCACCACCACTACCTCACACCACCCACCACCAGCCACACTACCTCACACCACCCACCACCAGCCACCACTACCTCACACCACCCACCACCACCAGCCACCACTACCTCACACCACCACCACCAGCCACCACTACCTCACACCACCCACCACCATCCACCACTACCTCACACCACCACCAGCCACCACTACCTCACACCACCCACCAGCCACCACTACCTCCACCACCCCCACCATCCACCACTACCTCACACCACCAGCCACCACTACCTCCACACCACCCACCACCATCCACCACCACCTCACACCACCCACCACCAACCACCACTACCCCACACCACCCACCACCATCCACCACCACTATCTCACACCACCCACAACCAGCCACAACTACCTCACACCACCCACCACCAGCCACCACTACTCCCACACCATCCACCAACAGCCACCACTCACCCCACACCACCCACCACCAGCCACCACCAGCCACCACCACCTCACACCACCCACCACCAACCACCACCACCTCACACCACCCACCACCAGCCACCACCACCTCACACACCACCCACCACCATCCACCACCATCTCACACCACCACCACCAGCCACACAACCACCCCACACCACCCACCACCAGCCACCACCACCCCACACCACCCACCACCAGCCACCACTACTTCACACCACCAGCCACCACTACCTCACAACACCACCACCAGCCACTACACCTCACAACACCACCCACCACCAGCCACCACCACCTCACACCACCCACCACCAGCCACCACTACCTCACACCACCCACCACCAGCCACCACCACCCCACACCACCCACCACCAGCCACCACCACCCCACACCCACCCACCACCAGCCACCACCACCCCACCACCACCAGCCACCCACCACACCTCACAACACCACCCACCACCAGCCACCACCACACCACCACCACCCAGCCACCACCACCCCACACCACCCCACCACCAGCCACCACCACCCCACACCACCACCAGCCACCACCACCTCACAACACCACCCACCACCAGCCACCACCACCTCACACAACACCACCCACCACCAGCCACCACCACCCACACACCACCCACCACCACCAGCCACCACCACCCCCACACCACCACCACCAGCCACCACCACCCCACACCCACCCACCACCAGCCACCACCACCTCACACCACCCACCACCCACACCACCACCCCACACCACCACCACCAGCCACCACACCCCACCACCCACCACCAGCCACCACCACCACAACACCACCCACCACCAGCCACCACCACCCCACAACA